GATGACCAGGTACGGACTTAACTCCCATGTCTGGCATACAGCTAACTCTTCCCACACTCTGAAAAGACTATGATGCTCCATCAGAGAGCACTTTGACAACAGCTCGGGAGTATTCAATGTGAGTTCAAGCTGTAATGCGAGCCAGCTAAAATGCTAGAGGGGGGTGAATTATAGTTAAGTGTATCCAGATCTATCCGAGGTTGCATGCGTAGCAGTAAAAACAGCGGAAAGCAGACAGGCCAGCTCGATGGAAGAGCAGAAAGTTGGTTTTCCGCCTAGCGCGCGGATCCCTGCCGACCGCTTCACTCACTCACTCACTCACTCACTCACTTTATGCCGCCGAATCGGCTTTTCCCCCGAAACCTCAGCGAACCGCTCAACAATACTGAGCTAAAATTCGCATTTCCTTTGCGGCTTTCCTACACAATGGCATCCTATGCATCTTATGGGCTACTCGATCAGCTAGAAGAAGGTAAATTCAGATCGATTTCCCTCCTCAATCCACCAAACTCTCAACCACCGACACTCCCCGCTAATTCATGCAGATGGACTCCACAAGTCGCGCCTTCTCAATGTCGAAGAAAAGCCCTTCAAGCGGATCTCGAAACGTCTCCTGAACAACGATTCGGTTCTCGTCGCGAACACCACACTTCCCCCGACTCCGCCGCCGGATGGAATGGACGACGATGCTGCGGCGGCGGATGCTGCGGCGGCGGCGGAGGCCGAGAAGCAAAAGCGGCAGGAGCACTGGAGCCATTTCCGCGAGGATGTCGCCTTGGATTTCGCCGCCTTTGAAATCAGCATCGCGCGCATCCAGTTCCTCCTCACGAGCAACGAGAAGGAACGCGAGCGGTACGCGACCGAGAAGCTGGGCATCCTGGATACCATGCAATCCGTCCGCGACAACACCTCCGAGCTGCGGGTTCAGCTCGAGGAGGCCCAACGGCTGCTGGCGCTGCGGAAAAGCTACGACGAATTGGCGGACAAGATCACGAGCAACCGGCTCCTGAAACCACGCGAGGACCAACAGGCCAACCTACAGAAGCTGCAGGCCGAGATCACCGATCTGGAGAAGGAAAGCAAGGAATACGCGCAGACGTGGGCGGAGCGCCGGGAGCAGTTCGGGCGCATCGTTGAGGAAGGCATGCAGCTGCGTCGCTTGATTCGCGACGAGAAGGAGGAAGTGGAGCGCAGGGAAGGAATGCAGGAAGGTGAGGATGGCGATGACGGCGACGTACCCTCCAAGGGTAAATCGAGCGGGGCCAATACGCCTCGTCACGACTCGGAGAGCCTGGCTTCATCGCATCAGAGCCCCGAGGAGCTCGGTCGTCTGTCAGCTGGGTTGCAAGTGGATAGATCAGCCACGACCGGTGCGGCGTCACCCTTGCGGCAAGTGACGGTTCCGGGCGACGAGGAGAAACGCTCGCCTGATCTGGACACCACGATGGAGGACGAGGGCGAGGTACAAGAAGAATTGGAAGAGGGAGAAGAGCAGGACGATCGGACAGATAGAATGGATACTACTTGATGATCGGAAGCTCTTATAAGCTAGCATTAAGCGCGGAGTTAACTGGCGGCGTTTGGATTCATGGCGGCTGTTATTTACAGCAATTCTGGTTTTTTTTTCCCATGTTTTACTTTTACAATAATTGCATAGACAGAACTAGTGAACGTGGATTTACGAGATCTCTCGCTCTGCTGTTCTGGCTTGGGAGATAGCCTCCTTGGCAGCATTGATCTGCTCGACATTGCTCTCGGCGCCCTTCTTGCCCTCCTCGATCTGCAAAAAGCTAGTTAGTCTTGTAGAATCAATCGAAACATGAGAGAGCAGCGTACCAGCAACTGATCAAGCTTAGCGATCGCATCCACAATCTTCTGCTTCAGGGTCGGAAGGACCTTCCTAGTCTCCTCGAGGGCAAGGCGCTGTCGTACGAGGACTGTCAGTGGCAGCACTGGCGTAGGGATTTGTTGGCGGTACAGACCTCCTGCTTCAGAGTCCACTCCTTGTTCTCATCGTCCCCACCCTCGCCGGATTCGAGTTTCTTGATTCTCTCCGTTTGCTGCTGTAGCTCGCGGTGATAGGACGCTTCTTCCTTGATCAAGCGCTGGACAGATGCCGTAGCAATCTCTAGTTGAGAGCGGGGTGCCATTGCGACCAGAGATCTATGTAGATATTAGAGATGAGTATTGTCACACTACTGATGCTAGCATGTTGCAGAGGCCATGACCCTTTTCAGCGTGTTCACTGAAGCTCGGGGAGATGGCGAGCAGTGCACTAGAGAACTCGATGCATTTGTAAAGTGGAGAGCTCTGAACAAGCTCAAGTTTTGGAATGCTCTCAGAACACCTTTGGAACGAATGACAAAGGCATTGATCGACTGACCTGTACTGTACAAAAGTCTTTTCAAAAAGTTGAGATCACAGATTGGAGTCGGAAGAGTGTTCTTTTGTTGCGTTGGGTAAATTGCTTTGTTCTGCCCCTCCACTGGGTATGATGCTATCGAACGACAATTTGCATTGTTTGCATTGGATGATTAGTATCAGCACGTGAAGGAGGGGAGTCGAGGAAGTGCCAGCAGCACACCGCCCATGCCATCATCGCCGGCGGTGTCTTCCGGCAGTACGTCAGGCTTATTCACCAGACTGGGCCAATGAGCTCATTGTCCACGGTGTATGATCTCCTCCAGGCTCGTACCAAGGTACTACCTAGGTAGTAGCCATCCGCCTTCGGGCTCGACAAAAGGCGCATACAAAGAACTTCAATGGGTCAGGGCTGCTCTCGCGATGGCGGTTTAGGCTTTTAAGACTTCTTCTATATATGTCTTCTACGTTCGACTTTCACATTCTGGTCATATGTGATAGATATCTCATGCCCAGAACTTGGTTATTATATGATTTTGCCCCCGATTAAAAGAAAATGCCGCCGCCCTCATTACTCCAGCTTTGCACGGCAACTGCGATCAGGAACGTCAAATGTGGGTCGCGCTTGAGTCAACTTCGAGATATCTGATCGCTGATACTGGTGCTACCTAGATCTAAATGATATCGGAAACATCCCTTATGCCCTTGCTCGTCCGTTCCTCCTCAAGGTGGAGAGTCCGGAGAAACTGGTGAGTCGCGCGATCGCCGCTGGGCCATAGGAAGAAGGCTCTAGACTAACCGATCGCCCATGATCTTACAGAGAGCATTGGAAATCCAGTCGCCTCATCTCATGCGCGATGACGAAGAAATATGGCGTGAATTCATCGAGCGGGACATCCCAGAATCGCACAGGGACGCTGTGCCCGAGAAGTCAGATTGCTGGTATGACGTATATCGCGAGCTTCAGGAAGAAGTACAACGGGCAGTTGATGAGGATGCAGAGAAACTCAAGATGGCGCTGGATGGGATCAGCTCCGAGAGAGCCAAGCACAGTGCCAAATTCATTACGGACCGGCGCCTCCCCGGTCAGAGGCCTACTGCGAAGCAGCGCTACGCTTCCTACGATCGGAAGATGGGCGGCATCAAACCAGTATTCACTCCCGCGAGGACTGGACTGGGCTCCTCAGATCCGTTAGGAACGCCTGCCTGGCAATTCGAACGACCCTCCGTACCACGGGAGACAAAGAAGAAGAACAGCATTTTCACCGCCACGAAGCGCAATAGTGTGCTGGCCATCCCAACAAAGCAGCTCAACAACAGAGCTTCGCAGGTCAGACAGGCTCCACGGTCCTTGATTGAGGAACATCGGCGTCCTGCCGAGCCTCCCGTCCCCCGCCGACGAGATAATATGGCTCTAGCTATGAGGGCACCCGGACGGTCCCGGATGCAGAGTGCTGCGGTTTCTGCAGGCCAGAATAACCTAGCAGTCAACTCCACCCTCCGGGATAGGGAAGCTCGACTCCGGGCAATAGCCTCCGGACGACCAGCAAGCACTCTGGGGATTTCGCCTGCTTCAGAAACCACGGCGCGGACTGCACGCCCAGGAGTGGCGGCATCACCCTCTACGGTTTGTTTCCCTCTCTTTTCAATCCTGACTGATATTCTCTGTGCTAGGATCTTGACTGACTAGGCCACAGACAGATGCAGGTGACTCGACCGCGCCTGGAGCCCGTCCTCCTATGGTTCGGAAAAGACCTGCGCCCGCTAATCCTTTCCTCCAACCCAAGAAGAAAAGATTGAACTGACATATAAGTTGGTATATGATATTCGAATGATGATTTCTTCTTTGAGCCATATATAGACCGCTCTTAGACCTGGACCGTGCTGTCCTTTTCAATAATGGCTGGCATCCCGCATCCTTTTGACCGTCATTCTATTTGCCACTATTCTATTCCCATGATTTGCGTTTCTTTACCTTCCTCTTTTTTTTGGCCACCAGAGCGCACTTGGACATGGTTGGCTTCAGATTCATCACAATGACCTTTTTCCATCTGCTGGTGGTGGTCATATCTAGAACGGGTTTTAGGGCGAACGGGCTTGAACTTATTCTCCGCACGAGGTCTATGAATTTAATATACTTTCTGCTACACTAAAGCCTGACCCACGTATACATATACTTCTTTTTTCCCAGTCTTCTTTCCCAGCCAGGATACAACAGCAAACCTCGTCGACCACAGCCGCCATTCCCATACGGCCAAACCCCGCCCTTTCTCCAACCCATTGAAATCCGCGCCCGCACACCGCATACAAGCTGATGAGCGATTTATTGTTGTATTGCTGCTAAACCACATTTCAACATCGCGCTAGGGTCCAAGGACGAAAGCGACATATACGCGACTCAACTCTATACGCCTGTGATGGAGCAAAGAAAAACCGGCCATGATGATGTTTCCATTCCAGGAAACCAGTTCCTGAAGCGTAGCAACGGGGTAGATGGGCATGATTATGGGTATGAGTCTGAGTATGAGTATTATGGTAACGACAAAACTGTCGAGGGAGGGAACCGATTTATTAATTTCCCATGCACAACACAGCTACCAACCGGCATCTCTCTTTCCCTCCTTTCCTCTTAAGTCCCTGTCGCTTTTAAAAACCACCACGAAGCGCGAGGACCAGGTGTAGTGTGGCGCCACCTTCGAGGTTGTATTCTGCGGCGGTCTTGTCGTCGGCCCTGTTTTTTCGAAGCACGGGTGAGTTTTCTCTTTTTCCTCCGGGCTTGGAAAACATTCGGTTGAGGTAAAGGTTTGGGGGTGGGGAAAGGGCAGGCGTACATCTGCTTGCCACCGAAGATCAGTCGCTGCTGGACCGGGGGGATGCCCTCTTTCTCTTCGACGCGTTCTTTTATGCGGGAGACCTGCGGTGTGTTTGGAGATTGGTTAGCTGATGTTGTTGCTGTGGTGAGAGCTTCGAGAGAAATTCTTGTCGTGGGGTTGAGGGGCAGCCTGGGCTGATGGTTTGCTGCCTGCCTCGTTCGTCTTCTCCGTTACACGGCGACGCACGGAATCACAGACACGCCGAGGAGGGGAGGGGAGGCGGAGCAGAAGGTAAGCGACGTAAGGGAAGGAGGTAGGTAGGTAAGTACCTTGTAGTCGGGCTCGATATCGAGTTCAATCTCCTTGCCGGTGAGGGTACGGACTCTATATTGCAGTGGAAATGAGATGGTTAGCTGGTTTGGTTCATGGCCGATGCCCCGACGACTTGGTGTTTTCCCCTCTGCGTCATGGGCTTGGGGGGTGGAGATGTCGGGGCCGGGCTGGACGGCGCGCCGCAGGCTCACTCACTTGATCAACATTTTGAGAAGGTGGGTCGGTCTATATGGTGAAGGATCGGGTAGTAATTGAGGGTAGTTGCGATCGCGCAGCGCAAGAAGGCTTATGTCCGGGTATGCGAGATGAGTTGGGGTAGTGAGCAGTAATTAACATGGAGGAGGGTTGTTTCCGTGACGGAAAGCCGCGGCGGGGTCGCTTTCTAGTGGGGCATCGGACTTGGGAGGAGGCCCGGCGAGAGCAACAATAGTACTGGTATTCAATTGAATACCCACAAGACCCAGGAGCTGTACAGGGATCCTGCTCTTAGTAGTGTCGAGTTGACACTCCACTCAATACGAGTAGTATATAAGAGCCATTCTGCTTGATGGATACTGGAATGACTATAACGGAGAGAGGATAGCTCGAGCATCTTATCGACAACCTTTGCCGGCCTTATGCTTGGGTTTATGGACGGTTATATATAGCAACTAGCGGCACTGAGTGGCACCTAACTTAGTGATCCCTGTAGCTTCAACTCTTCGTAAGCTCCAACGCACTCGCTATTTAGACTTGCCTTTCTTCTTCTTCTTCTTCTTCTTCTTCTTCTATACTGGATCCACGAAAATGAGTACTACTGACCAAACATCCAATCCGTTCAATGAACTCATTGCGGAATGCCATAATGACCCGGTATTCACCCAGGAGGTTTCCATGGCTAGATCTTCGAACCAGGCACACTCATCCGTTGACAGACACGAATCCAAGCTCGCTACGAAGCCCATCGAACCAATCGAAACATCCAACAAAAGGAACGGCTGCTCGATCCCGGTTTCTCCGGTTGGCAGATCGACGATATACTTGCACGCCTGCATGAACAAGCAAACAACGAACAAGGTAGCACTGCGACAGCACCGTTCATTGACCCCCGGCACAGCTTAACCATCCTCGCTCGTCCACCGCAGCATATTCGAGACCTAGTGGCTGAGATTCAAAGAGAGATCGGGGATGTTGCTCCAAGTTCGTGCACCCCCTCGGCCCTTTGGACTGACTCTGGGCCCAGTCGCCGAGTACGAACGCTGATTTGGACATGCAACAATGGCTAGGCCTCTGGTTTACACCTCCAGACTATCTACACATGACTACCCTAGAGATCGCTAGTTGCCGGACGGAACCAGAGATAGATGACCTGGTCACTCGTCTGCAGCGCAGTGGGATCATACCGCAGTTGACGCATTGCACCTTTCATCATCGCACACGGCTATTCAAGCCGCTGATTAGCTACGATGCGACGGCAATGGCTCTGAGTTTCGTCCCTGAGACTGGTGGGGACATGATGGGTCATGCCCACGAGAAAGAATGCCACGATGATCAATATACTTACCACCATCTACGAAGAGACGTCTCCGCGCAGATTGCGGCAATCGGGTTGCCGATGAAGCCCAGGTACATTGCTCCGTCGGCGCATATCACCATCGCACGATTCATCACTCGCGAAGGATTCTTGCTGGAGACGCCTGATCCAGACGGAGTGGAACAGGTCGATACCGATCAAATTGCCTTACTGATTCGAAGGATTGAGTCAATTAATGAGAGGCTCCGGGCGGAATATTGGCCCCGTGAACGAGAGCCCATACCTCGGAAAGGCGAGTGGATCGTGGGAGAGGAGCGAGGGCTGGAAGTCTGTGTTGGGAGGTCATTTTATGGAGGCGGCGAGTGTGCCCATGTAGGGAAAGGCTTTTGAGATACTAGGTAGAGACTCATGAGGTAGACTCCGATAGAGGTTGCCAACTTTCCCTTAAAGCCATCAAGGTAATTAGTTATGGTCTGTTTCATACCAATGGTTGAAATGATAACAAGAGCGGAAGAGGGCCGATGGCTATAGTTGCCTGAGGCATGATGCAGTCAGTCTTGGCTGCTGACACACAAACGCGGTTAGGCCGCACCCTAAGCGAACGAAATCCCACAACCCACCGCACCGCCGCCAGCCTGACTTGATCCTCCCCGACAAGAGACTATCAACGACCACCAAGTTCGCGATCCGGCCAAATCAGTCAAAATGGTAAGGATGTTGTCCCGTTGATTTCTCACCTTTATTGCCGTGTTCCTGGGCGTCCGAGAATTTTTGTTCGACAAATCGGCACATGTTGGAAAGGCGCGATGGCGAAATTCGATACTTCGCCGATGGATGGATTCCCAGCTACGAGCCCGTACGAATCGCCTGCGACCGACAGTTATGGCACCCCCAAAAAAGACGACAAAAATGGCCGACAGTGAAGACGAATTCGACATGGCAATTCCGAAGCCACGATTTGTGGTGTGAGTCGATCGAACGGAATACTTTGTGCGATCCGGACGAGAGTATCGGCCTGCAACAAGAAAAGAGATGCCAAAAAACTTTCGCTATTGCCTGAACACAACGATCAATGCTCGATATCCCCCAGATTCAGTACCGCGCCACTCGCCGATGAACAATACGACGCAAGACACCCGGGAACACACTATACTTGCCGTCCAGTGACAAAATACATCTTCACCCGCAGAGGCTGATTCATTCTTCTCTCGAATTCAGGTCAACGTTCCGAAAACCCGCCGGACTTACTGCAAGGGCAAGGAGTGCAAGAAGCACACCCAGCACAAGGTCACCCAGTACAAGGCTGGCAAGGTGAATAGCACCACCCCGCCTCGCCTCTGAGGAACTCTTCGAACAACGAGCGGCGTACTGATGCAGAATTTGTGATCTCACTCTAGGCCTCCCTGTTCGCCCAGGGTAAGCGTCGTTATGATCGGAAGCAGAGCGGTTACGGTGGTCAGACCAAGCCCGTCTTCCACAAGAAGGCCAAGACCACCAAGAAGATCGTTCTCCGTCTTGAGTGCACTGCTTGCAAGCAGAAGAAGCAGCTCTCCCTGAAGCGCTGCAAGCACTTCGAGCTTGGGTATGTTCCGCCCGACTTCGCGCGACTTTTTCGGAGGATGCTAATCGATCTCGACCTACAGTGGTGACAAGAAGACCAAGGGTGCTGCTCTTGTCTTCTAAATTTGCGATTTTCTTGTTCGGCTCTGGGTTTCCTGCATTGCTAATCCGGCGGTGGCATATGACAATGGCAATGGAAAATGAAATAGGGTCCTCATATTCAAAAGAAAAAAAGAATATATGACTCCTAGTTGACGAGTCTCTTGACGAAATTACCCGTGTTCCTGATACCACGTAGTAGCATTTGTAGATCTCTGAGAGAACGATATGTGATATGGAACGGTCGATCGCAAACCCGTGCCTTCAAGCCTCGCAACCACCCGCACGATCTAATGGAACGAGACGGCTTCCACTGCCAAAGGGAAGGTCGATAGCATTTCTACTCTGCATACGACTCATCCACTACCTAACACAACATAATACTACTTAGAAGACTTTCTTCTTCAACTAGTCGGACAAGCCGGCCAAATTGATGAAAAAAAGGGGGGGTTCGCGTCGATCGGGGGTAGTGTAAGCCCGATGACACTGTGCAGTCTGACATGCGCAAGCACAGAGGTCAAACTGCAGAGTACAAAAATAAGATTAATCAATGTTGTGTTCCTTAGAACACTTTCAGAGATTAAACTGAAAAGAACAGATACTACACTTGATCTAAGCCAAAAGGCAAAGAGAGCTGGAAAAGAAAAGAGAAAAAAGATCTAAAAGGGTGCCGGGCGGTTGCACCTTTTATAGGGACACCCGGAGGCAAAAGGACGCTAGTGGTGCTAGCCTCGCTTGATTGACGCGCTAGACTAAATTCGGGGGGCATCTGGTCTGGGTTTAGCGGGGGATGCTTCGAGGTTGGCAGGTATAGTACGGAGGGAGTACTGTACTAACCTACATATATCATGGATACCATGAAAGTATTCTAGAATAGCTCGAGGCTAGTGAGGCTGGCTATCCCTGCTAGAATGCTGGTTCATATGTCCAGTGGAACTCGCTGAGAAAGGGTCCTTTATTGGCCTGGCCTGACATGCTGACTCTTTTCGCGTAAGCTGGCTATCAGATATATGTCGAAGAATTGAGAGCATAACTACTACTGAGTACGCGGAATACTATTCAGAACCATCCAGCCGAAGACGAGGCTAATCCAGTCACCCCCACACCAGTCTATGCTGTCACGGGGGCGGGATGGGATCCCCCGCATTTCAAGGGATCTATCCCTCGGTCCACCCGCTACGTACTTCGATTGTCCATGCACTTATCTACGGATGTGACTTCATGACTTTCTTTAAGGCCGTCATCATTGCCATCAAACCTGCCCTTCACTTCTGCCATCGTATCATTCCGAACCCATCTCTGAAAGAAACAACAACAACAAAGCCTTTACCACGAGGCAAGATATGGAACATCACCTCTCGGGCCATCAACTACCGAACATCCAACTACAGACTATGCTTCCCGTCGAATGCGGGGAAACTGGCGGCATTGCGACTGGCATAATCGAAGTCTGATCTACAGAATACGGGGTACTCAAACTCTGGCCCGCTTCCCCAACTTCATACCCCGGATTGGTCGTCATTGCTCGGCCATCCTCCGAGTCGATGTTGATGTCGTACAACTGCACCCTCGGCTCATGGCCGTGCAGCTATATATCCGCACGCCCAGCGCCTTCACGCGTCACCTCTTCACCGTCAGGAAGAGTATGCATGATACTAGTCTTTCTTCGGCTTCAATCCCTCTTTCTGCTACAAGATGGCGGTCTGGTATGCTTTTGGTGTGGCAATATTTGCTGCCATCGGAACGTTCTTATTTGTAAGCCAGGCTCGTGTCGCGTCTGAGGGCTATTTCGTCGCTAACATAAGTCATCTCTAGGGGTTTGACACAGGCATCGCTACGACAAGTGAGAGACCCTAGTGCGGCGACCCTCCCACGACGACAGCTAACGACTCTTCAGCAATCGCCCATGAAAGCTGGATTGACTACATGAAACACCCGTCAAATGGCCTGACAGGAGCCGTAAGTCAGAAAGACCTTTTTTTTTCGGGCTTTTATATCTAATCCCGTGTAGGTTGTATCAGTGTACATCGCTGGCGAAGCAGTCGGCGCGCTCACTCAGACTGCAATCGGAGATAAACTCGGTCGACTTCGCTTTATGGAGATGTCGTGTGTTGTTGTCACCATCGGAACAGTCATCCAAACCGCGGCCGTGAATATTGGAATGTTCCTTGCTGGCCGCCTGCTGGCCGGGTATGCTGTTGGGTGAGTTGTACCCGGGCACGTGAACCAACAATCGAGGACGGAACTGATCATGGCGTTGGTAGCGGAATGGTTGCCACAGTCCCGATCTATCTCAGCGAGATATCATCCCCTCGTTATCGTGGCTTGATTGGGGGCATCTCAGGCTGCGGCATCGCATTCGGAACGATGGCTTCGAACTGGGTCGGATACGCCTGTAGCTATGCACCCTATGGTCAGGTCCAGTGGAGGGTCCCTCTGGCGATCCAAATCCCATGGGGCATCATTATGTTCGCCGGACTAGTCACCTTCATGCCCGACTCTCCACGCCACTTGATTCGAGTAGGTCAAATTGAGAAGGCGCGCAGCGAGTTCATCAGAGGCCGGCGGGATTTACGTCCGGACGAGGCTCATCAGGAGTTTTCGGAGATGGTCGCGCAAATTCAGTACGAGAAGGAGAGAGAGATAACCTCCTACAAAGATATCTTCCGCATGTTTCGACGACGCGCATTAGTGTAGGTCCATGTGCAAGATACACGAGGGAGGCCTGACTCCACTGACTCGGTCGAATAGCTCGATTGCCGTGCAGACCATGACGAGTCTTACCGGCGTGAACGTCATCCAGGTATGTGTCTCACAAACCCGATGGAGATAAGATGCTAACAGAGCCCTAGTACTACCAAAGTGCGCGTTCTTGCCCGCCCATACCCCCCCTCCAATGACGAAGAATACTGATGGCTCTGATCCAGCAACACTCTACAAATCCCTCGGAATTGACTCCCACACCATCTTAGCCCTAGCTGCTGTATACGGCACCGTCGCGTTTATAACTAATTGCCTCACCACCAAGTATCTCACAGATCAGTGGGGTCGTCGCAAGTATGTCTCCAGTCAACTTAACCCACAGAATCCCAGCCACACCAGAAACTAACCAAACAAAGTATGATCCTAGCCGGCCTCGCCGGAATCATCGTCATAGAGATATATGCCGCTGTCATGCAGCGAGAGTTCCAGAACACGGACAATAGAGTCGGGAAAGGCTTTGCCATCCTGGGAATCTACCTGTTCGTGGTGGTCTACTGTATGTCCGCAGAAGACACGCAACCCATATCCCCATATTCCAGATTACTAAGTGCCATAAACTTGCACAGATGGTATGCTCAACAGTACCACCTGGCTATACGGCGCCGAGGTTCTGCCCATTGCGCTTCGTAGCAAGATCATGGGACTGGCCGCAGCATCTCACTTTATAGTCAACGTCGCAAGTAGGATTGCCCCTCCCTCCTCATTCGCCACGAGAAGCACCTCCCCCCCAAAGCCCCGCAGAACATCTACTGACACCATTGTCCTTGTTTCATGACGCAGTCACCGAAGCCGGTCCCAGCGCCTTCGCGAACATCCACGAGAACTACTACTACGTCTTCGTGGCCTGCACTGTTTTCTTCTTGGTTATCGCCTATTTCTACTTCCCGTAAGTCTCTTCTCCACGAACTTGTTCTTCTACCTTCTTGTGAAGACAAAAGCAAAACAACAATACTGGAAGGTGATATGACTAACTCACTCGGAACGGGTGATAGGGAAACCAAACGCAAGACCCTGGAGGAGATTGCCGCGTCGTTTGGGGACAAGGTGGTCGCGGCCGGCGAGCAAGGCGAGGAGGATCCGGATGCGAAGCCCCATTCGCAGCGGGTGGAGGTTGTCTACGAAGGATAGGCTCAGAGAAAAGAAGTATCACCTTTCCGCCGCAACGCTTTCACGCTTTTCAGAATATGCGCTTGTCTGTACCTACCGTTCGTCACCTAGGTTTATTGGAGTCTTTCTCATCTGGCTCTTAGAAATTATCCTGATCATGTAGCAAACCAGCTGGATAGCCTATGTCCCGTGGAAGGGCTCTACAAAGTGAAGGAGAAGAAGAAACATGGTGCGGATATAGTACCGTCAGGCTTCAACTCCCACCAACCGGGCCGTTTATCCCTCGCATCAGCGACGCATCTTCTCTTCCAGACCACGCCATCCCCTGTCCATATTCCCTTCCTCAAGAAAGACAGACAGGCAGGAAACAAAGATCTGTATGGAAATGAAAAGCAAGCAAAAAGGGGCGTGTGCCCCCCTCCCCCCTTCCCCCCCCCTGCCCCCCGGCCGAGAGCGCCCCTCGTTCGGCTCCGAAGCTAGAGCTAGGTAACTTATGTCCGATATCACTACGAGGGAAACGAACACAAGAACGAAAAAAGGCTTCGTCTTCTATACCTGGGTACAAATTGACCTTCAACATTGTGATATGTATTGTGCTATCGATGGGGATGGGAGGTGGGAGGTGGGGGCTAGGTACATGCCGTCCGTCCCGTCTACGGCAACCAGGGCTGGCGCTGGCGCTGGCTCGAGTTTACTCCTGACGATCATGTGGGTCAGGTGTACCGGTAGTCGTGTGTGCAATGATTCAATTCTTCCAACTACATGGGATGATGGGAATGTGAACAGGGAGGGGGGCTTGAAAGAAGGAAGACGGAAGACCCTGGCGACGGTCAGGGGTGGCTCTTCTGGCGTGGAGTTACTGTACTGTCCATACAGGTTACTGTGCACGGGATGGTGTGCGGAACACCATATTCAGGTAACAAGTAAGTGAACCTAAGTCAATCACTGCACACTGCAGACTCCGTACCTCTTCGTCTGTTCGAGTACTTGCTTCATAGGGTTATGGTTCATGCATGCCACCAGTTCAGGCAAATGATCAGATCGGCGGATCGTCAGGTGACGACAAGTGACCGCCCTCCTGCATACTCCATGGAAATCCTTTCGGCCGGACGTCGGACTTCATTGATATTCATCCAATCATTCATTCATTAACT